TTTTCTGTTGTCTCTTTCCACAGATATATTCAATTTGATTTCTATGTATTCCATCTGGCGAGGTCCATGTGTATAATCATCTCTTATGCTGTCTAAAGAAGGTATTTGAAATGAACAAATCGTTGGTTTTGTAGAATTCTATCATGCGATCTCTAGCATCATTTCTATCACCAAGGCCATATTTTCCAACTACTGATCCTTCCTCTTTGCTCCCAACCTTTGCATTCCTATCAGTAGTAATGATCAATACATCTTGATTGCATGTTTGATCAATTTCAGATTGAAGAAGTTGGTAGAATTCTTCTATTTCACCCTCACTGGCTTTAGTGGTTGGTACGTAAATTTGAATAATAGTGGTATTAACTGGGCAGGCTTCCCTGTAGGTGAATGGATATTATCTTATCACAGACGGCATTGTACCTCATGACTGATCTGGATATGTTCTTTTTGACAATGAATGCAACACCATTTCTCTTTAATTTGTCATTCCCAGCATAGTAAACCACTTTACTGTCAGATTCAAAATTGCGATTACCAGTCCATTTCAGCTTACTAATGCTAAAATATCAATGTTTATGCATTCCATGTCATTTTTGACAACTTCCAACTTTCCCATAGTCATACTTTGTACATTCCATTTTCTGACTTTCAATGGATGTTTTACAACTGTTTCTCTTCATTTTGAGTTGGGCCCCATCAGCAAATGAAGGTCCCAGGGGATTTAGTCCTATAGGCTTTACTCCACTCATGTCATCATGGTCAACTCTACTTTGAGGAGGCAGCTCTTCCCCAGTTGTATTTTGTGTGCCTTCCAACCTGAGGGGCTCATTTTCCGGCACTATATCTAACAGTGTTTCTCTGCTATTTGTAAGGTTTTCAGTGACTAAATATTTTGGAAGTAGTTTGTCACTCCTTCTTCCTAGTCTATCTTCATCTGGAAACTCATCTGAAACCTGTCCGCCATGGGTGACCCTGCTGGTATTTAAAATACCGGTGGTATAGCTTCCAGAATCACAGCAACTCACAAGCCACCACAGTATGACAAACTGACAGACAAGTGGTGGTGATCTCATATAAGTAGTTCTTAAAAAGAACACTATGGTCAAGGTATGTGTGTGTGTGTGTGTGTATATATATATATATGGCTTTTTTTTTTTTTTTTTTACTAGTTGAGCTAAGCTATTGTTCAGTTTTAAGACAACTTCAGGCAATATTTTCAAGCTGAGGTTTAAAGGTTATCTCAGTGACATAGTGTCAGGGGTTCATCTATCCTTCATGGCTTCAGAAAGTCTTAAGTTCATGAGAATTTGAAATTCTTTTCTATAGTTTCCCTCTTTGAATATGGATTTTCTTCTATGGAATCTTCAATCAAAATGTTCAGTAATGGTAACCATACACTATCCATTTCTTCTGGTTTCATGGCAAAGCAAGTAGCTATTTATGGAGGCAATTAGCCACACATTTTATATCCTCCTCTCCTGACTCTCCTCCTTTCTCAGTTGTTCCAGGTGAAGAGAGACCAACGTTGTGCATTGGAGGGCTGCTTGCAAACTTTTAAAGCCCCAGGCACTACACAACAAACCAGGAGGTAAAACAAAGCACTTAACAAATTATCAGGGCAATTCACTCAGATGTCCCTAAACCTCCAAATCAAGGAACCAAATCCTGTGACATTTGGTTATACATAAGCAGCGGCTATTCTTTTTTTTTTTTTTTTGGGGGGGGGGGGGGGGGTTGATAGGGGGCTTCATCGTTGTAAATATATCTAACACACCCTTTTATTAATTCCGTGTTTGATAGGTATACAAATAGTTACAGCAATTACAATAATCAGATACGCACCTCTACCCTTAATGTGATTTTTTTCTATCACTATTAATGCCCCTTTCCTCTTGCCTCTCTTGCTTCCCACCTCTTGTACTAAAAAAGATTTTTTCTTTCTACATTTGCCTTTTCTTGTCATTTTATGTAAGTGAAGTCATACAATATTTGTCCTTTCATGTTGTTGGTTTTCTCTTTGAACTTATTATTGTAAATTGAGTCAAGTTTTACAGACAAAAGTCATCAGTTTTACATTAAATGAAATCACTTTGTCTCATCTCAATGACTACAATCCCCTCCATTCAATAACAGCTGTCCTACTTCCTCCTTGTGGCCTCCTATTTCCATTCCACCCACCTTCCCATCCCTTCTCAACTTTGGTGGTTACATGCCATGGAGTAGGTTCCAACTCGTAGTGAGCCTACATAGGGTTTCCCAGTCTGTAAATCTTTCAGGAGCAGAAAGTCTCACCTTTCTCCCACAGAATGGCTGGTAGTTTCAAACTGCTGACCTTGAGGTTAGCAACCTGACTCGTAACCACTACGCTACCAGAGCTCCCTTAGATAAATGTTGCCCTTCTGATTTTGAACAACTGACCAGTCCATGGTGAGCATATCTTACTAGTGTTGTTGTTCCCCCTGTATACATAGCTACTGCTTGGCTGAAAATTGGGTCACAAAGGTGAGTTCTTTTCCAGACCTGAAGAGTGGTCATAGGCCGTTAAGTTTCGGGTTCCTCCAATCTCTTTCTGACCAGTAAAAATGGTCTTTTTAAAAATGACTTTTGAGGTTTGTCCAATGTATTTCTCCAACTATATTCAGGATTTTCTAATATGGCCCCATTCAGAGTTGGTAGTGGTAGCCAGGCACTATCTAGTTCTTCTGGTCTCAAAGTCATGGAGATTGATGTTCACATGGCCCATTAATAACCTGGACTAATTGTTACCATGTGTCTTCAATTTTCATCACTCTTGTTTATTCTGGACAGGGAGACACCAACAGTTGTACCAATGAACTTTTAAGAACCTGTTGCTATTCACCAAAGTAGAATGCAGAACACTGTCTTTGCAGACTGTATGCCAATTGACCACAGAGTCCCCCAAGACCATTGTCCTAAGCCGCCAGGCCCAGTGACTCACTACTTCAAGGTGTTTAGTAATGTCTAAGACGTTTTCATAACTTTGCCCCCTATACGTGGCACCACATTCATGGATACATTTGTAGCAAAAGTAAATAACCATGTACAAATATCCTATGCCAAACCCTTATATATCTGTGGTTCTACTTCCACTCTTCCTCTCACATGCATTCAGCTTGAGTGTCTATTCATGCATCTACCCAGAGATCACCGTTATTGCAGGACTACATATGTGTATATAACAGTATTTACCTCTGTTGCCTTTAACCATTGCACTTTCCCCTTGCCTTCCCCTGCTGCCATCATTTTTTTTGTCAACCTCCCTCTTATTGTACATTGTCTTCCCTTTCACCTAAGTTAACACAAGGTTTTCAGTTGCTAACCCTTCAGAAGTGGTCCACCTCTCCTTCTTTCTTTTATCTTAATTAGTCTGGAAGCTCCACTGAAACCTGCCAGCCATGGGTGACCCTGCTGGTATTTAAAATATTCATGCCATAGCTTCCAATATCATAGCAACATGTAAGCCACAACAGTACAACAAACTGGCAGATGAATGGTGGTTTGGTGTATTATGCTCATTGATTTTGTAATGTTGAACAATCCCTGTATTCATAGAATAAATTTCACTAGGCCATGGTATATGACTCTTTCAATATACTGTTGGATTCTGCTTGCTAGCATTCTGTCAAGGATTTTTATATCTATATCAGTAAGAGATACTGGCCTGCAGTTTTCTTGTGGTGTTTTTGTCTGATTTGGTTGTCAGAGTTATGTTTGCTTCCTAAAATAAAGCATGGACTATTCCTTTCTTTTCTATTCTTTGGAAGTTTTAATCAAGTATAATATAAATTTTTAGGATAAATTCATCACAATGAAAATTTGTAATGTTATATAATGTTGCAAAGTCCCAGAACATTATTAATGTTTCAGTAAAAGCATAATTAGAGTGTTCACCCTAAGCATAATTTTAGATTATGTCTATTTGCCTTTCCTCTAAAATTGTAAACATCAATTTTACTAGAAAAGGAACTTAAGAATTCAGATTAGTAATTAGTAATATTTCTGAGATATTATTTGATTATTTTTCTTTTCATTAACTTACATTTAGCTATAAAATCAATCATTGCATTACAATTACCACTGAGTTTGTTCTTTTTTAAGTTCCTGGCTGACAACTTTATCACATATTGGCAGTTTTGAACCAATGTTACATCTTTCATTTCTCTGCATTAATAATGATATTAATTCCAAATTTCAGAGAAAACTGCCATAATCAGTAGACGTTAACAAATAGCAATGCGCTACACAGAAAGTGGTATCTATACTCAAATCTAGTAGAATTTTTTTTTAAATTATAATCTTGTCATTTATACTTTATGGTTTTTAAAGGAACTTGATAAATTTTGAAAAATGCTTCCACTTTTTTTAGGTACATGGAATATAAAACCATCTGGTGTGGCGCTGGTGGGTTAATGTGCCAGACTGCAAAGCTGTTTGAACTGCAAAGTCAGCAGTTCAAGCTCACCAGCTGCTCCTCAGAATCCCTATACAGGGTTGCTATGGGTCAGAATCAACTCGACAGCACTGAACAATAACAACAAGCAATTATTATGGCTGATGAATTTATAAGTAGACATTTATAGACTATTTCTCTGTTGGTAATATGATAGCATCATCTTTAAAATTACCAAATGCAATGCTTTCTAAATGCAGTGCTTTGTATTTAAAGTGGTCATAGTTGGTCATACAACCCTCTACAACCAACAAGGACAGGAAAAATAAGTCATAAACTTACTTTCTCATACATTTGCTTCATGTACTTTGTTCATTTACTTTGGTGGTGGTGATTACGTACCACAGAGTCAGTTCCGACTCATAGCGACCCCGTACAGGGTTTCCAGGGCTGTAAATCTTTATGGGAGCAGAAAGCCTTATCTTTCTCCCACGAAACAGCTGGTAGTTTCAAACTGCTGACTTTGCTGTTCACAGCCCGATTTGTAACCACTATGCTACCAGAGCTCCATATATATATATTCACTTACTTTAATAAGCAATGCTTCATTTGTAGCTTCAATCACTTCATTCCTGTCTTGAACTTGTTGATGCAAATTGCTTACAGTGTCCTGAGCATCTTCTAATTCCAGTTTTGCCTTTTCTAATTGTTCATTTAATTGCTGAACAGAAGTTTTTTGAGAGTCAGCAGACATCTTCCACTTTGCATGGTTTTCTTGATGTGAGAGTATCTACAGAGGACAAAAATTAGAAAAGGGAAAAGAAAGAAAATAGGGGCAATTTGGTTTCAACAACATTCTAAGGCTTTTCACTTTCACTTATTTTTCTCAAAAGTAATTCTGTTTATAGTTATAAACATTACATTTCTAAACAAAATATAAATGCAAGCAAGGGGAGAAAGAAACTGTCTTACATTTACTTAAGAACACTTAACCAAATGCAGTGGACTCTACTTAGATCTTGATTTGAACAAGTAAAGATTTTTGAGACAAGTGGAGAAAACTTAACCATTTAGGTATATGATAAAATTAAGGAATTACTTAATAAACAAGGAGGAGGGATCAGTGGTTGGAAAATATGGTCTTGGTGATAGAAATGATGCTGGAGATAAAATGAAAGAATTTTACAAGACCAATGTGTTCTTCATTGCAAACACCCTTTTTTTTTTTCAACGTTTGTTGTTGATAGGTGCCTACGAATCAGTTCCTAATCATAAAGACCATGTACATGCACCAAAGAATGAAACACTGCCCAGTCCTGTGCAGCCTCACAATTGTTGTTATGCTTAAGTCCGTTATTGCTGCCAATCCATCTCGTTGTGGGTCTTCCTCTTTTTTGCTAACCCTCCACTTTACCAAGCATGATATGTTCTTTTCCAGAGACTGGTCCGCCTGATAATATGTATGGAGTATGAAGACCAAGTCTCGCCATCCTGAATCCTAAGAAGCATTCTGGCTGTACTTCTTTCAACAGGTTTGTATGTTCTTTTGGAAGTCCACAGTACTTTTAATATTTTTCTGCAACACCAAAACTCAAATACATCAATTCTTCTATAATCTTCCTTAGTCACTGTCCAACTTTCACATGCGTATGAGGCTACTGAAAATACCATGGCTTGGGTCATGCACACTTTAGTCCTCTTTGCTCCTGAAAACTTTGAAGAGGTCTTATGCAGCAGATTTGCATAATGCAATACATCGATTGATTTGACTGCTGCCTCCATGAGTGTAGATAGTGGATATCAAAGCACAATGAAGTCTTTGACGACTTCAATCTTTTCTCCACTTATTTTGATATTATTTATGGGTGCGCCTGTGAGGATTTTGGTTTCTTTATATTGAGATGCAACCCATACGAAAGGCTGTGGTCTTTAATCTTCATCCGTAAGCATTTTAAGTTCTTTATGTTTTTAGCACACAAGGTTGTACATTGCAGGTTGTTAATGAGTCTTCCTCCAATCCTGATGCCATGTTTTTCTTCATATAACCCAGATTAATGGATTACTTACTCAGCATACAAACTGAATAAATATAGTGAAAGAATACAACCCTGGAACACATCTTTCCTGATTTTAAACCATTTCTTGGTTTAAGCCATTAAACTATTTCCTGATTCTAAACTGTTTAAACAACTGCCTCTTGGTCTATGTACAGGTTCCCCATGTGCACAATGAACTGTTCTGGAAACTCATTCTTTGCAATGTTATCCATAGCTTGTCATGATCCAAATAGTCAAAAGCCTTTGCATAGTCAATAAATCACAGATAAGCATATTTTTGGTAATCTACGCTTTTAGCTAATATCCATCTGATGTCAGAATTGGTATTTCTCGTTCCACAACCTCATCTAAATCTGGCTTGAACCTCTGGCAGCTCCCTGTCAATGAATTGTTGCAGCTATTTTTAAATTATCTTAAGCAAACGTTTACTTGTATGTGATACTGTCTGATGATTTCTGCATTCTGTTGGATCACCTCTGTTTGGAATGGGTACAAATATGGATCTCTTCCAATTAAGTTGGCCAGGTAGCTGTCTTCCAAATTTCTTGGCAGAGATGAGTGAGTGCCTCCAGTGCTGCATCAGTTTGTTTCAAGATTTTAATTTGTACTCAATCAATTCCCAGAACCTCAGTCTTTGCCAGTGCCTTCAGTGCACCTTGAAAATCTTCAATATCATTAGCTCTTGATCATATACTACTTCTTGAAATAGTTGAACACTGAACATTTTCTTTTGGTACAGTGACTATGTATTCCATCTTCTTTTGATGCTTTTGGCATTATTCAATATTTTGCCCATAGAATCCTTCAATATTGAAAGTCGAAGCTTGAGTTTTTTCTTCAGTTTCTACAGCTTGAGAAATGCTGAGCGTGTGCTTCTCTTTTGGCTTTCTAACCCAGGTCTTTGCACATTTGTTACAATATCTGACTTTGTCTTCTTGAGCTGATCTTTGTAATTTTCCATTCAGCTCTTATACTTCCTCACTTCTTCCATTTGCTTTATAGCATCTCTACAATGGAGAACAATTCTCAGAGTATCTTCTCACATCCATTTCGGTCTTTTCCATTTTGTCTTCTTAATGACCTTTTGCTTTCTTCAATTTATGATGTTCTTGATGTCATCACACAACTCTTCTGGTCTTGGTCTCTGGTGTCTTACACATCAAGAGCATCAAACCTGCTCTTGAGATAATATCTAAATTCAGTTGGGATATGTTCAAGGTCACATTTTGGTTCTCATGGACTTGTCATTTTCTCCATCTTCAGTCTGAACTTGCATATAAGCAATTGATGATCTGCTTCACAGTTGGCCCCCAGACTTTTTTGGCTGATGATATAGAGCTTGTCCACCGTCTCTTTCCACAGAAGTAGTCAATTTGATTTCTGTGTATTCCAAATGGAAAGGTCCATGTGTTCAGTTACCTCGTATGTTGTATAAAAAATGTATTTACAATGAATAAATCACTGGTTTTGCAAAATTCTGTCATGCAAACTCCAAGATTTTTTCTATCACAAAGGCCACATTTTCCAACTACTGATCCTGGCTCTTTGTTTACAATATTTGCATTCCAATCACCAATAACTATCAATACATTTTGATTGAATGCTTGATAAATTTCAGAATCAAATTGTATGATTAGACTATCAGCAATGAAGATCACAATTATGACTTATAGACAACTACAATGAACATTTGAAAAAGGTAGACTTATATTTTTATTCACATAAGTCAACCCACTTTACTGGGGGCTAATGAAACCTTTTTATTTTTATTATTATTACCTCATGATGATAAGCTTCCTTGAGAGATTCTACTTCTGTTGACAATTTCTTGATTTCTGCTTTCATTCTTGCTTCTAACTGAGCTTCACGTACTTGTGAAGCTCCCAATTCTTCAGCTAAATGGTTTCCACGAACTTCCTTAAAATGACATATTGAGTAAAAGCTACGTAACTTATTTAGTTATTATACCTAAACCAATCCAGAAAAGTATAAGCACTTATAATATATAAATACACATATCATCCTAACTTATTAAATGACATACTCATAAATCTATACATTTAAGAGACTCCGGAATGAGAGAATAATAATACACTGCTTGCCATCATAATAAAAGTAAAGTTAATTAATCATTATTTCCTATAGAAAAAAACTAATGGCTGCAGCATATGGAACTCTGGCAAATTATAGTCTACTCTTAGTCAGATATACCTGTGCACTTCCCCCCCATTTTTAAATATACAATTTATTTTCATATATATATACATATATATGTACACTCAAAAATATTGTTTGTCCTTACATTAAAATGTGAGCTAGGTTTACATTTGGATAAAGATATGTCTCTTCTCTGTATTTTCTAAACTTTCTGAAATGAGTATTATTAATTCATTTTATAATCAGAAAAAAAATAAACATTACAGATGATATATTAAAGTTTTCTATTATATGGTTGCATAAATCCATATTCCAAAAAGTAAAAATGTCCTTTTTATATGAGCCCTGGTGTGGCAAGGATAACACCCAGAGAAAGGTTAAGAAGAGACTTTTTGTTTAAAGCCAGAGCCAAAACTGAGAGGTAGAGGGAAACTACTTGCAATAGGAACCCAAGGATCTTTTTAGAAAGAGACAAACATTTTTCTGCCCCTCAAGTGTTTTGACTAGTTTCTGGTAGATTTAAAGATGGTGCCCCAACCAAGTTCCAGGTGCAGCAAGGCTCCTGAAATAAGACATTGTACCAGGGAGGCAGTCCTGACTCTTAAGAAAACAGGAATGTAGAATTTTAAGTCTGAGAATTTGGCCCAGTACTCACCCCCAAACCAGCCACCTTGAACCCCTTGTTCCTTGTTGTGTTGTTAGGTGCCGTCCAGTCGGTTCTGACTCATAGAGACTCTACGTACAACAGAAAGAAACACTTCCCGGTCCTATGCCATTTTCACAATTGCTGGTTCGCTTGAGCCCACTGCTGCAGCCATTGTGCCAATCCATATCACTGGGGGGGCCACCCTCTTATTCTTTGGCCCTCCTCTTTACCAAGCATAATGTTCTTCTCCAGGGACTGGTCCCTCCTGATAATGTCTTAAGTATGAGAGAAGAAGTCTGGCCACCTTGGTTTCTAAGAAGTATTCTGGTTGTACTTCTTCCAACATAGATTTGTTTGCTTTTTGGGCAGTCCAAGGCATCTTAATATTCTTCTCCAACACTGTAACTAAATGCATTAATTCCTCTACAGTCTTCCTTATTCATTGTTCAACTTTCATATGCAACTTTCACAGGCTACTGAAAATATGATTTGAGTAAGGTAAACTTTATAAACCTGTGCACTTTTGCTCACCAGATATTTTGTTTGCTTGTTAAGAATCAGTTGTGGGTTTGTTTGTTTTTTTCCTGCTTTTACTTTTATTTGCATTTTATTTTAAGCTTAACTTACTTGTGAGCCATTAAGTTTTTGTTTGTTTCAGTTTCTTCTGAGATAATCTTTTTCTTCTGTGCAACCTCCTCTTCTGGTTTAAGAACAATTTGTTCCTTTTCCGTGACGATCATCTCAATATGGCAGGGTGAGCTCATGTAGGGGGTGATCTGACCATGAGCTCTGTAAGTTCGGTGGAACATCTTGGGAGCTTTGTTGACCTGGATGTGCTCAATGACCAGAGACCACATCTAAACCCTTAAGTTCAGCATTGCTCTCTACATTTTTAAGCATGTGCAGCAAAAATTCAGCGCTCTTTTTGGGCCACCATCCCTATGTCCAACCCTACTGTTTGGCCCGGGCACACCTACCAAGGCCACCATTGTAACATCGGAATGGTACACATTCTTCTGCAAAGTTTCTGGATATTCATACCCTTGATGGCCTGGGCAGACTCATGGGTGTTCTTAAAATGGACCCGGAGATTTGAACCTCTAGATTTGCATGATTTTGTGGGGTTTTCTGGGTCAAGTGAGTAGCGAACCATTTTGTGAGATTACCTCAGGCCGCTTATGAGAAGAGCTCAGTTGTATTTTCATCCAAACCTATAGGGTGGCTATGAGTCACACCAACTCAACAGTGCTTAACAACAACAATGAAATATGCAAAAATAAAGTTATTTTTATGCCAAAATTAAGTTATACAATTTGACATAGCTCAATGAAAGTGAATCACAAAAATATGCTATCCAATTAGAAGCAGTCAAGATAGTTGTAAAATTTGTTGTTGTTGTTAAGTGCCGTGGAGTCGGTTCCAACTCATAGCGACCCTGCACAGGGTTTCTGAGGCTGTAAATCTTTAAGGGAGCAGAATGCCTCACCTTTCTCCCGCGGAACTGCTGGTAGTTTCGAACTGCTGACCTTGCGGTTCACAGGCCGATTCATAACCACTACGCTACCAGAGCTCTTGATTAATTCACAAATGTCTTTTCATTCTCTACTACTTAAAAAAAAAAAGGAAACTACAGATGATGATGGAGTATGAGTATGGTTATTTGACCTATGATGGTGGTGATGATGTGCCGTTGAGTTAGTTCCGACTCATAGCGACCCTGTACAGGGTTTCCAAGGCTGTAAATCTTTACAGGAGCAGAATGCCTCATCTTTCTCCCATGGAACAGCTGGTAGTTTCGAACTGCTGACTTTGCGGTTAGCAGCCCGATTCATAACCACTACACTACCAGAGCTCCTTTAAGTAAGGCAAAATCCTAACTGAAGGACCCATAAGCAGAGAACCAAGACATTGGCCCAAATTAAAAGTGACACATGAATATGCATGTAGAGTTTTTGTCTAAAATAAAATATTTTAATGTATCATTATCAATAATTCCATACTGACTCACTTTTAAAAAGAAATTTATTAGATAAAATCCATTGTATTAAACTTAGATACTGTTGATAAAGACAGAAATTAGATAAGGCTAGGCAACTTTCCTTTTCCTAGTATACCCCAAGCACCCAGTTGGTAAGTGCTATCGAGTCAGTTCCAACTCATAGCGACCCTGAATAGGGTTTCAGTGAAGCAGCTGGTGAATTTGAACCATCAATCTTTTGGTTCAAACTGACCTTGATGTCTAGTGCATTATCCCACAGCGCCACACCAGAACTCCAACAATATAATTTTTGGTTAACCAAAATAAAAGATAAAAATATTTTAACTCAATTCCTATACTGAACTGTTTTACTGTTGTTGTTAAATGCCTCTGAATCTGTTCCGACTCATACAAACCCTGTTTCTGAGGAGCAGCTGGTGGGTTTGAACTACCAACCTTGCAGTTAGCAGTCCAGTGCTTATTCTACAGCACCACACCAAGATTCTGCTACCATAATGTTGCTGTTAAGTGCCATGAAGTCAATTCTGACTCATAGTGACCCCATACAGGGTTTCCAAGGAGGAACTGGTAGGTTTGAACTGACAACTTTTTGGTTCGCAGTCCAGTGCTTATCCTACAATGCCATATCAAGAGTCCATACTGGAGAACAAAAAATGCACAAGAACTTCTCCAGGGCACTAATGAGAATAATCTGTTTTAAAGTATAAGCAATTAATTCAAGTATAACAATCTAAATATTTTTAAGCCAAAATTGCTAACCTTCTACTAAATACTGGAGAAATAAAATTAATATTAGTGCTCTTGTTTTTTAAAAGCATCTACCTGTGGGACCCGACCCAGAGAAACAATGACACCAGAGATGGAGGCAGAGACAAAGATGTGGAGAGATGGAGCGGCTGGGGACTCTAGACCAGAGAGGGAGATGGGTTGTATGCTGACGACCGAGGGGCAAGGTTGCAGGGTATACCCTTTGGCTGGCTGATGATGCATGGAGGGGATTATAACCATGGCAATGAAACAATATACAATAGGATGAATGTAAAGCTAATGTTCTCTCATGTAAACAATCACATAATTCACAATAAAAACGTAAAAATAAATAAATAATCTATGAATGACTCCAATAAAAGCAGCTAAGTACCTAAAAAAAAAAGCATCTACCACTCCAATACAGGTTTCATAAAGTTACACATTTACCTCTAAACTACAGGTTTCATAAAGTCACATTTACTTCTAGACTACAGGTTTTATAAAGTTACTTACACATTTAGATTAATTTTTTAAATATATAGAAGTGGCTACAAATGTAAAAATTTTACTCAAAAAAATATGTACTAGCTATTCTTCAAGTGATACTTTTAACTCACTTAAAAGTCTAAAAATACTTTCTAAATCCATTTTTTGAAAGTTGGACAGTGAATAAGGAAGACCGTAGAAGAACTGATGCACTTGAGTTTTGGTGTTGGAGGAGAATATTAAAGGTACCATGCACTGGCAAAAGAACAAACCAATCTGTGTTGGAAGAAGTACAGCCAGAATGGCCAGTCTTCATCTATCATACTTTTAACATACTGTTCAGGAGGGATATCATGTTTGGTAAAACGTAGGGTCGGAGAAAAAGCAGAAGACCCCCAATGAGACAGATTGGCACAGTGGCAGCAGCATTGGGCTCAAACATAGCAACGACTGTGAGGCTGGCAGTGTTTTGTTCTGTTGTGCTTAGGGTCGCTATAAGTAGGTATCAATTTGATGGCACCTAACAACAACAATTACTTTGCCAAAACTCAGTTAGTTCTGAGAGACTTTCTAATCTTTTTACAAAATTAGGCTAAGTACAATGCAGTTAAATTTTACAATTATATTCTACAGTTAAAAAATGTGAACATTCAAAATATTAGTATTAGTATTATAACAAAATTATTTTGAATACATTACTTTCTCCTTAGAGAGTTGCTTTATTTCCTCTAGTTCACTTGAGAGCCTTTCTATTTCTCTTTGTGCTTGTACTTGTTGACGACGAGCCTCCACCATTTCTGTACGAGAGTTCTGCAGCTGCTCCCGGGTTAGTCTCAATTCTTGATCCGTATCTACAGCCTCTTTGTATTGAGTTGCAATGTACTGTTCCTGCTCTTTCATAACCTGAACATGAAAGGAGCAAGATATTTGCAAGTGTCGAAATAAAATTAAATTCATAGACATCCTGTTTCTTATTCTGATTTTTAATAAGTGAATTTCCCCCTCAAACTAAACCTCTATTAAATTTAATATACAATGAAGTTATCATCCACTGTAAAACTGATATTCAGAAAATGTCTTATGCTTTTGTGAAAAGAAAATTACCAAAGCACTGTATCAATCTGGAACCCTTATTCACATCTTCTGCATAATTTTAAATATGCAAGCTGAGTGCTGTATAGTCTTTAATCATTTAATGTAATAGTTATGACAGAATGCATAATAATATAATGAAAAAAAGTAGTAGCTTGATTATCTATGTCCAAAATGAAGACTGTACTAGCAAGGGTCGTCAAAGTCCACCAGTGATTTACATAGCTGAGTCAGACCTTGATCATATCCTCCGCTACAGCGAAGTGTGCCTGCCACAGGGGCCACTACTCCCTTTTTTTCCTTTCGAGAAAAAAAATATATACATCAATGAAAAGTTAGCTAGTAATTTCAAACCATCTGGAAGAGGCAGGTTAGGAGAAAACTGTGAAGTTTGTTATCATCTTGCAAAAATCTATTTGGCCTTATTTCCAGTTCTTTTAAGTTATACATAAACCTGACGCTAATGAATGGGGGCTGACCAGACCAAGTAGAACCACCTAGGGACATAATGTTAACTAAGCCTCACAAGATGTAATATAATCTATCAAGGTCATGCAGTGAGGCTGAAGAGTCCTGAAGGTGAAGGCTCAGAGGAGTTTCCTGGTTGGTAACCATGCATGGGAGTGGGTAGCACATTCTCCTTTGGGACATCAAAGCACCATGCTTTGTGATTCCATATGCGATTTACCCTTCCAGACCTTACCCCCTACCCTATGCATTTCTTCCTTTGTATCTTTTCTGGTTGTAATAAATCTGTAGTAAGTATGGTGAATTTTGTGAGTCATTCCAGTAAATGATTCGACCCCAAACAAGTAATGTGACAAACTGGTCTAAAGTACAGGGAGTCATGTGGACTTCAAACTTTCAGCTGGTATTCAGAAGCGTATAAAGGAAAATCTTAAATATGGGGACAGCTGGTCTGAAGTGGAGGAAGTCATACAGACTCTTGAGCTATGGTTGGTACCTGTCCTAGCTGTAGATGGCTAGGGATAGAGCGCCAAGGGCTGAGTATGCATCTGAGAGGTCTAAACTGAATAGAGAAAGGAAGCTAAAAGTTCCATAGGATGCAGCTGATATGTAAAGTGGCATATATTATCCACCACACAATCTGGCACCAAAAGTGGGTGATCTTAGTCTACCCGAACTGGTTTGCACAGGTTATGGAACTTGATGTCAGGACTGACAAGAAGAGAAACCAGTACAAATTACTGGGGCCCTGATTTCTAGAACAGGGGTCCAGGTTTCAACCATGTTATATGAAGGGGCTTCAAAAAGTTTATGGAAAATAGTTATCAAAAGGTAATGGAAATTTTTTCACAAATGTATTGAAGCCCCCTTGTATATATGTATATATACATGTAATCATGTAAATATTTGTAGTTAGTACTAATTGGTGGCGGTAGTTATTTGCCATGGAGTTGGTTCCAATGCATAGCGAGCCTGTGTAGGGTTTCTGAGGTTATAAATCTTTACAGAAGCAGAAAGCCTCATCTTTCTTCCTCAGAGTGGCTGGTACTTATTAGAGAATCTGAAATTATTGAGCCAGTAATCATTTTTCTCACTGTGCTCCAAATGTGCTCTCAGAGACTCTGCTTGATTTACATGTACAATTCAACAAATATTTGTTGATGATTACTGTGTAATATATATTGAGGATATAGCAGTGAACACAGGAGACAAAGTGGCTGTTCCATATGCAATTTATATTCTAGTGGGAGAGACAGATAATCAATCAATCAGCTAGTTAAATCCAATAAAGAGATAAAAGTTTTAAGGTTGAGTATAGTGCTTAAAAACAAGAAAAAGTTACATCCACAAGAAGCCCTTGGAAGTAAATTCACTTTTTTAAAAGTCAAATGAGTTGGATGGATCCACTGATCAATAAACATGAAATCTGATGATAAGAAGTCATCAAACTTCATATGGTAACTCGATAGTACACCTGGCCTCAATAATGTCATTCTCTAGATGGAGTTCCTTAAGGACAAAGATTATACCTTATTAACATCTGCATCTTTCAGCTTTGTTACAATATCTCAATAAATCTGTGTTGATCAAATAAGCATTTATTGTGGATAACTTTGTGATAGATGCCATGTCAAGACCAGTGGAGAATACAAAGATAAATAAGACACTGCCCTTGCCAATACCTAGACCACCAGTTCCAAGACACAAACAGTTTCAAAGTATTTATGGCACAGTTTCTGAATATGAAATGAACCAGTTTAAAACATAAAGGATTATTTTACTCTTCACATAATACTAGTTGTATAGTTTGCTTACACTTTCCATTTCTTTCATCTTTTGTTGTGTTCTTTCAGCTTCTTTTTTCAGTTGACTTATCTCTTGTTCATTTTGTAACATCATAAACTCTTTTTCTCGAAGTTGTTCTTTGGCATTTTGTAATTTTTCATTCAAATTTTCTATCTGAATTTTAAACAGATGAGTAATATTAAAGTAACTAAGGAAAGATAACTCTTTAATCATAGCTACATTACAAGTACGTCAAGCTTTAAACACTTGTATCTCAAATAAAGACAATATCAAAATGTGTTTTTCTTAAGATAACTCCTAACTAGGAAATAAACGTAAGTATTTTTGCACTTAATAAGATACGTATTTGTAAATCTAAAGCATACAAAAAAAGATAAAAATTACATTCGTATAATAAAAGAAAAACTCTGGTGGCACAATGGTTAATCATTCAGCACTAGCCAAAAGGTCAGAAGTTTGAACCTACCAACTGCTCCATGGGCGAAACGAGCTGCTGATTTGCTCCCATAAAGATACAGTGAGGAAACCCTATGTCCTTATAGCATCAGTATCTGTTAGCAACTACTCAATGACATATAACAACAGAACAATTTATATTATGTAACCTTACAAATAATTTTATAAGTAATATGTACATGAGATACAAAGTTAATTAAAAAAAAAAATAATAAAAGTCCCCTTCCCACTATGTCCCCTCCTCAGAGGCAACCATTGTTACCTGAATTACTTATAAATCCTTCTAGAGATGTCTATACATGTCTAGATACATGCACATAGTTTAATAAATATGTGGACACACTGATAAAGAAAAAATTATATTCAAAATAACACTAAGAGGGGGAAAAATATAAAATAGCACTTAACAAGAATATTAAGATGGTAATGCTTTACTTATGTACATTCTTTTAAAAAGTCTTATTTATGTAAATAGTGGATATTTACAGTTAAGAAGCTAAAAATTTTCAATTAACATTTTTATAATTCACCTGTTTGTTGCATTCTTTAAGTTCCAATTCTGATTTCTCTAAAGTACCCTCTAATTTAATGATTTTTTGTTCCATTTCTCCTCTATGCTCACGAATAGTCATATCCAAATGTGTAACCTAAATACAAAAGAAAGTTAAAGGCTGTTCAATTCTATTCTTATCTGAAAACTTGTGTACTTAGACTGTAGTTACTGAAAGTATTTTAGAATTGTTCATGGTGGGTATAATTTAAACATAAATTTATCTCATATAAATTATTCAAAAGACCAAGGCAAATAATCATTGCTTAATAATACTGGATCACGAGCCTATGTGTGCTGTAGAACACTATAGAAAAGTACTGGTGTGGTGCTGTGTACTTTGCGCTGGACTGCAAAGTTAGTTTAAACGGCAACATCAGTGGTTCAAGCTCACCAGTCGCTCCTTGGAAATTCTACACAGGGTCACTATGAGTCAGAAATGACTCAATGGCCTTAACAATAATGACAACATAGGAAAGATACAATTATGTTCATAATGACAAGTAATGCATCATACTTCACTTTATATTGGATAAAAATGCCTTCTGGATATTTTGCTCCTCCCGCACTTAGCTGAGTAAGTAACTCCTTATTTAACCCCATTTTCTTTTGATATAAGGAAAGATGAGCTCTAAAGAGTAAGATACCAAGCTAACCCTCATTTTCAAAAACCTCCTTGCTGTAAAAATAAGAGTTATATTTTTAATCTTTAATTATATGTGCACAGAAAACAAATAAACTATAAAAATGCCCACTTTACTTAAAATTAGTGACCCCTAAAACCCTGTAATTTTGTCATAACAGAAAACTACATTAAAATACATATAATAAAGAAAACCAACCTGAGCTGCTCTTTGCTTTAACTCCCAATTTCTCTCCTTCAGTGCCTGATCCATTTCAAGGAGTTCTTGCTTTTTGTCTTCAATATCCATCTTACATTCTCTGCAATTTAGCAAAGGAAAAAAATGGAATTATTGTAAATTTATAAAAAATTAGGTCAAAGGGAAGCTAAAAGACAAGAGCTCAAATGAATATTGAAAGATTGAGAAGGTCAAATTAAAGGAACAACACATAAAGAAAATGATTGATAGCAATACAATTTTTAATAGAGTATTCTAAAAGGAGTCCTGGTGTGGTGCTGTGGGTTAATGCGCCAGACTGTAAAGCCATTTGAATTGTAAGGTCAGTGGTTCAAGCTCACTAGTTGCTCCTCAGAAACCCTATACAGGGTCGCTATGGGTTGGAACTGCTTCGATGGCACTTAACAACAACAACATTCCTAAAGGCTGTAATATTGTAGAGTAATTCAAACTGTAATATTGTAGTGTAATTTCAGCTAAATATTAAGCATTCCCAGAGCTCTGATATTGAATCCTTGTATAAATGGGAAAAAAAAAAATCCATATTTTTCATCTATGTTTAGATGTCTTTTCTGCAGAATAGTTTTGACTTTAATAAAAAAATAATTGAATGAGATATTTAGTTCATGATTAGTATCTCTTATATTCATAGTTCAGTAAATGACCACTGTTATTTCTCATCGGAAGTTTACCTGACATGATGCTAGAAGTGTGGAGAAATACTGAAGTCTAACCTGTACATAGTCACAATATTTTTATTACAAATCTAGTCCTCCTGGAGCTCTAACTTATATATAACTTTGTATTACAAAAGTGCTTAATGTTGACAGTCTACCATTCTGCACACTGTAATTAGAGAATTTTAATCTGAAACCAAGGCTGATATGACTAAGGCTGACCATGTTGATCTTGAAAAGCTTCATATGATTTTCCAGTCTAAAATGTGAAACAATACTGAATAAAGATTGTTGTTGTTGTTGTTATGTGCCATGGAGTCGGTTCTAACTCATAGCCACCCTATACAGGGTTTCCGAGGCTGTAAGTGTTTACAGGAGCATAAAGCCTCATCTTTCTCCTGTGGGACAGCTGGTAGTTTCAAACTGCTGACCTTGCGGTTCACAGCCCAATTCATAACCACTACGCTACCAGAGCTCCTTAATGGATAAAGATACTGGTATCTAAAAGCAAATTCTGAATTTTTACTTTAATGAGTTGCTTTAATGAAACCACTCCTTTAAAAGTCTCAAAAGTTGTAATATAGACAAAAACAATAATCTAAAAATAAGATGAAATAAATTGTAAAGAAAACTTCTAGTTTCTACCTGTTTATAGTGGAGCTTCCAAAATTTTAACTGTAAGTAGAATTTAAGATTTTCATGTTCCTTCATCCATGTATTCACTCACTTAACATTAATTCAACTATTTATTGGATGTTTTCCATATACAAAGGAGCCCTGGTCAGACTATGAGTTGGACATTGGACTGCTAACCATAGGTTGCCGGTTCAAACCCCCAGTTGCTCCACAGGAGGATGATGAGACTGACTGCTTGTTAAAGATTTACAGTCTTTGAAATCCTACACCGGGTCACTATGAGTCAGAATTGACTTGATAGCAGTGTGTTTGTTTGTTTTTCGGTTCCATACTCCAGGTTCTAAGAACTGGGGATATAATAGTTAAAAAGAGAGACGTCTCTGATCTCAAAGAGTTTATATTTTAGTGGAGGTGACAGAGAAAATACACTGCTAATGATAAACCACTAACCAAGAAACTATCATAATATTAAGTGCTATACAAGAGGGAATCAAAAAGTTCTTGAAAAAGTAGAATTAAAAGAGAATGGAATTTATCCATGATTTTCTTTTTAACTTTTTATTGTGAACTGAGTGAAGGATTACAGAGAAGACCATCAGTTTTCATTCAACAAATCATATACTTCATTTCATTTCAATGATTACAATCCTCTCAATGTAACAACACGTATTCCACTTTCTCACTTTGTTTCTTGTTTCCATTTCTCCTTCTTTCCCAACCCTTCTGAATTTTGTACTTGGATAAATGTCTGACCCATCTATATGATGTGTATGTTTCATGAGTGTTACTGGCCCCTTGTATATCTTTCTATTATTAGGCTGAAAATTGAGCCATGGAGTTGAGTTCCGTTCCAAATCTGATGGCTCTTAGTCTCAGGTTCCACCAATCTCTGATCAGCAAACCTGACTGTATTTATAATTTTGCATTTTGTTCCACATTTTTCTCCCACTCTATCCAGGACCTTCTAATGTGATCTCTTTCAGAACAACTGGTAATGGTAGCCAGGCACCATCTAGTTCTTCTGGTCTCAGGATGGCTTCCACAAATCTTTTGAAGCCCACTCGTGTTACAGCATTGACTTGGGTGATTAGATATCAGGGCTCCCGCCCCTATGAGGTAATGAGAAGGGCAAGAAAAGAGCCACAGTACCATTATTCCAAGCAGAAGAAATAGCCATAGCAAAGGACCTAACACAGAAACACACTTCCTAATTTTACAGATAAATAAAAAGGAAAGTGGTATGAAATAAGGCCAGAGAGCAGGCAGGAACCTGATCACATAGGATTTTGTATGCCAGGAAAAGGAGTCTGGATTTTATTCTGAATGTTTTAGGAAACCATTAGAAGGTTTATGTAGAGAAGTGATATACTCTGATATATCTTTTATCACTTCTGTGGAGAGTAAATCATAGGTGGGCACAAATGTGTGCAGGGAGACTAATTAGGAACCCACAGCAATACATTATGTATTGTACTGAGGTAGTCCTAATAAAAAGAGGCCAAGAAATCAATGGATTTCAGAATACCTTTGGAAATTAAACTGACATGAATTACTAATATACTTGATAAAAAGTAACCTTGTAGACTTCTGGTTTGAGCAGTTGCATGACACTGAAATGGGGAAGAACAGGGCTATGAGGAAAAAAAATCAGTTGTGTTTTGGTCAACTTCGAGTTGTCTCTTAAAAATATACTAGTGGGGGTCTTACGTTTAAGAGGATGTGTGAAATCCTGAGCTAATGGGCACTGACCTAGCTCCTGCAGGCTAATGATGAGAGTAAAGTGGCTATCTGGTCTGAAGTACAGGGAGGTGTGCATAAACTCCCAAACTTACAAGTAGCACCCACATTTGACATAGCTTGGATGGCTAACTGACCAGAACTCCAACAGAGGAACATAAAGACGTTTGATACTAAGAACAAGCACAAATTCATACAATCTGACAAACTAGACTTTTGCCTAGGAATGCAGTGACTCAAAATTCCAAGCAGAATGGAAGAATTCTTCATATCAAGGAATAACCTTGAATCCTCAGTAAACTGGGCTGGCAGGGATGAGAAATTTAGACATTGGCTATCAAAATGGGGGCTATGACAGCATGAAGTGGCTGGCTTACAAGCTTTCATGAGTGTGCTTAGTTTCAGAAAGAGGGGTGTAAGGTAGAATCCCCACTGAATAATTTCCCTCTTTTCCAGGTGGTTCTGGTGAAAGGGGATTGGGACAAGAATTTTATGACTCAAACGAGAATAACTGTTAGCAGGATTAATTGCGATTGTTACAACTGTAATTGTAGAAGATGTGTAACTAAAAGGAGGGAGTAGTTTATCTTTCATTTCAAGAACAGACGATCCCAGGACCAACAAGAAGGAAGAGCATGAGAGCACCATACCTTGAAAAGTGGCAACAGCAGAGGCAGTAGTATGGAGCAGGCTCTAGATCCATGGACCGAGAAAGGCTGTGTGCCTGCAGACAGGAAATTGGCTGGCAGAATGTGCCCTTTGGACATTTAAATGAATATGTATCTTTTTGCTTTTTAAGTGTACAATAAACACTTTTGCTTGTTCATTGTGAAATATAAGAAGTAAATGTGGAGCCACAAGGAGAAGTAAGGTAAATGTTGTTGCAAGGTGAGGACTGTAATCACTGAGGTGGAACAAAGTTTATAATTGGCTGAATGTAAAGTTGATAATCTTGTTTGTAAACCTTCACCCAATTCACAATAAAAAGTTTTAAAAGAAATGCTGAAAAAAAAAAACAAACCCCACAAATATATATATATATCTCACTGGAAAAACAATTAGGTAGTGGCTATCTGAATCTGGAGGTCAGGGAAAAGGTCAATACCAGAGATGTAAGTTTAGAAATCTTTGACACATGGTATTTACAGCAACATGAAATTTACTAAGGATAGGTTTGGGGAAAGGATTCCTGGCGTGACTCTGTAGAATGAGCACTGGACTGCAAACTACAAGATTGGCAGTTCAAACCCATCAGCTGCTCCTCAGTTTCAGAAACCCTATACAGAGTCATTATGAGTCTGTCAGTTTGTCGTACTATGGTGGATTTTATGCTATTGTGATTCTGAAGGCTATGCCATGGGTATTTGAAATACCAGCAGGGACACCCATGGTGCACAGGCTTCAGTTGAGCTTTCAGACAAAAACAGACTAGGAAGAAGAAGAGATGAACAACTTCCAAACATATAGTCACTGAAACCCTAATGAACAGCAATGGAGCACTGTCAGCACCAGATTACTGAATATTGAAACATGATGAAAAGCACCAGAATATTGCCAGATATAGTGTCAGAAGATGAATCTTTCACATTGGAAGACACTCAAAATGCAACTAGGTAAGAGCTGCATCCTCAAAGAAGAGTAGACAATGATGATGCAAATGAAATAAAACTCCTGGGACCTTCATTTGCTGATGGTGCACAACTCAAAATGAAGAGAAACAGCTGTAAAAATCCATTAATAACTGGAGCATGGAATGTACAATGTATGAATCTAAGAAAACTGGAGATTGTAAAAAATGAAATAAAATGTATAAATATTGATATACTAGGCATTAGTGAGCTGAAATGGACTGGTACTGGCCATTTTGAATATGACAATCACATGGATTACTAAGCCAGGAATGACAAATTCAAGATGAATAACATCTAATTCATTATCAAAAAGAATCTATCAAGATCAGTTATGAAGTACAATGCTGTTATAGAATAATATCTATAAACCTACAAGGAAGACCAGTTAATACCATTATTATTCAAATGTATGCATCAACCACTAAAGCCAGTAATGATGAAACTGAAAAATTCTACCAATTTATTCAGTCTTAAATTGATCAAACATGCAATCAAGATGTATTGATAATTACTGGTGACTGGAATGCAAAGGTTGTAAACAAAAAGGAAGGATCAGTAGTTAGAAAATAAGGCCTTGGTGACAGAAATGATGCTGGGAGCTGCATGATAGAATTTTGCAAGACCAATGACTTCTTCATTGTACACATTTTTTTTTTAGACAACATAAAAGACAACTGACTATATACATGGACCTCACACCAGATGGAATACATAGAAATCAAATTGACTACATCTATGGAAAGAGACGGTGGACCAGCTCCATATCCCATATCATCAGCCAAAACAAGGCCAGGGGCTACTACAGAGCAGACCATCAATTGCTCATATGTATATTCAGGCTGAAGCTGGAAAATTAAAAGAGGTTGAAGCTTGAGCATTAAAACAAGTCTATGAGAGCCAAAAAGGAGCTCTGGTAGCATAGTGGTTACGAATTGGGCTGCGAACTGCAAGGTCAGCAGTTCAAAACTACCAGCCGCTCCGCGGGAGAAAGATGAGGCTTTCTGCTTCTGTAAAGATTTACAGCCTCGGAAACCCTGTACAGGGTTGCTATGGGTCGGAACCAACTCAACGGCACTTAACAACAACAACATGAGAGCCAAAATAAGACCTCAACTATATCCCACCTGAAATTAGAGCTCATCTGAAGAATAGATTTGATGTATAAGACACTCAAGATTGAAGACCAGATGAGTTGTGGGGTGATATCAAGAACATCATACAGGAAGAAAGCAAAAGGTCATTGAAAAGAAAAGAAAGGAGGAAAAGTCCAAAATGGATGTCAGAATAGACTATGAAACTTATTCTCCAGCATAAAGATACTAAAGCAAATGGAAGAAGTGAGGAGGTAGTATACGAGGTGAATAAAAATTTCAAAGGGCAGCTTGAGAAGACAAAGTCAGATATTATAACGAAATGTACAAAGACCTGGAGTTAGAAAACCAAAAGGGAAGAACACAGCATTTCTCAAGCTGAGGGAACTGAAGAAAAAATTCAAACCTCTACTTGTGGTATTGAAGAATTTGCTGGGTAAAATGATTGTTGTTGTTGTTGTTAAGTGCCGTCGAGTTGGTTCCGACCCATAGCGACCCTGTACAGGGTTTCCGAGGGTGTAAATCTTTACAGGAGTAGAAAGCCTCATCTTTCTCCCGCGGAGCGGCTGGTAGTTTCGAACCACTGACCTTAAGGTTCGCAGCCCGATTCGTAACCACTACGCTACGATTAATGATGCAGAAATCATCAAAAGAAGAAGGAAGGAATACACAGGGTCACTATACCAAAAAGAAATGACAGATGTTTAACTATTTCAAGAGGCAGCATATGATCAAAAGCCAATGATACTAAATGAAGAAGTCCGAGGTGCACTGAAATCATTGGTTAAGAACAGGGCACTCAGAATTGATGGAATGCACATTGAAATCTTTCAACAAACTGATGTGGCACTCGAGGTACTCACTCATCTATGCCAAGAAATTTGGAAGACAACTACCTGGCCAAGTGCCCATTCCAAAGAAAGGTAACCCAATGGAATGTGGAAGTCATCAGACAATAAATATCACTGATATCACATGTGAGTAAAGTTTTGCTAAAAATAATGCAAAACGGCTGCAACCATACATTGACAGAGAATTTCCAGAGGTTCAAGTCAAATTCAGAAGAGGATGTGGAATGAGGGATATCATTGCTGATGTCAGATGAAAGCGGAGAATACCAGTAAGATGTTTACCTGTGCTTTACTGACTACATAAAGGCTTTCCATTGTGTGGATCATGACAAGCTAAGAACAACATTGTGAAATATGAGTATTCCATAGCACTTAATTGTGCTCATGAGGAACCTGTATATAGACCAAGAGGAAGTTGTTCAAACAGAACCAAGGGAACATCAAATGGTCTAAAATTAGAAAAGGTGTGTCCCAGGATTATATTCTTTCACCATACTTAATCTATATGCTGAGCAAATAATCCAAGAAGCTGGATTATATGAAGAAAACCATGGTATCAGGATTGGAGGAAGACTCAGTAACAACCTGATTATGCAGATGATACAACCTTGCTTGCCGAAAGCAAAGAGGACTTAAAATACTTACTGATGAAGATCAAAGACCACAGCCTTCCGTAAGTGTTGCAATGTAAAGAAAACAAAAATCCTCACCACTGGACCAATAAATAAAATCCATATAAATGGAGATAAGATTGAAGTTGCAAAGATTCCCTTTTGCTAGGATCCACTATCAACACTCACAGAAGTAGAAGTCAAGAAATCAAACAACATAATGCATATGGCAGTCTATTGTGCAAGGTCTCTTTAAACTGTTGAAGAGCAAAGATGTTAATTTGAGGACTGAGGTGCACCTGACCCAAGCCATGGTATTTTCAGTAACCTCATATGCATGCAAAAGTTGGACACTGAATAAAGAAGACCGTAGAAGAACTGATGCATTTGAGTTATGGTGTTGGAAGAGAATATTCATGGATTTCCAAAAGAACAAACAGATCTGTGGTAGAAGAAGTACAGCTAAAGTGCTCCTTAGAAGCCAAGATGGCCAGACTTTATGTCTCATACTTTGGACATAATGTCAAGAGGGATCAGTTACTGGAGAAGGAGATCATGTTTGGTAAAGTGGAAAGTTGGAGAAAAACAGGAAGACCTCTAAAGAGATGGACTGACACAGTGGCAGTAGCAATGGCCTCAAACGTAGCAACGATTGTGAGGTTGGCCCAGGACTGGTCACAGTGTTTCTCTGTGATGTGCATAGGGTCGCTATGAGTCAGTGCTGAGTTGATGGCACCGAACAACAAGTCAGAATTGACTCGATTGCATTTAACAACAAATGTTTGGGGCAAGAGGTGAAATGGGGACAGACACAGCACTGAATCCTGGAATACAGCAATTAAAATTCTGTGTCATTTTGCTGTTCTTTGTCCTGGTGCTTTATTACACATTTCATGTCCTAATCTGTAACTCTGTTTCCCTTTCTGGATCTGTTTTCCCCACCTTGGTTCTGGTCTGAGTGTCCATCCAACTCACTATAGATGTGTGCTGGCTCATCACTGTATGCGATTGCTGTTAATCTACGAACTCAGATATTAAAGTTGGACAAATTTGTGTTTAACTTTTTTTTCCGATCCTAATACCTTGGGCCTCACTTCTCTCATCTAAAAGCTGATATCTGATAGGTTTGATGTGAGAACATGAATGAGATCATATATGAAAATTCTGACATATTCCTGGCATAACATAACAGCTAAATACAAGTTAACAATATTACTATTATTAATATTGCTTTACTATTTGCCACTGCTGTGTGCTGACCCAATCCTTTTTTTACCACTCTGGGATATAGGTGAAGGCCAGTGTAAAAGGTCTAAAAACCAAGAATGCGAGTACCAGCAGGCAACAGCAGTAACTGAATTAGCACATGAAATGGATTGATCAATATGAGTTCCAGTGTGCTAAAGGCAGTTTAGAAGCGTGACATTTAGAAATCAAACAACAAACTTTAACTGAATATAGTTTTTACCCAGATTCTTTAGAGTTCTGTATTTTCTAGAGTTAAAATAATAAGGTGAAATACCTGTTATCATGACATTTCTTAGTGTTTATTTTACCTCAGTTCAGCTGTAAGATCTTTTATAGTAGTATATTTTTCCTCTAGTGATAACTGAGCCTTCTGTAGTACATCTCTCAATTCCTGAAGTTGTCTTAAAGTACTTTTTAATTCTCCATGTGCATTTTGCAGTTCAGTTTCTAGTGCTTCCCGTTTTTGTGAGGCTTCTGTTAGTTCAGTTTCAGTATAATGATGTAACTTTTCTAACTCTTTCACTGTTAAGAAGAAATAATTTAGAACTACACCCACTTCCAACTTATCAGCATGGCTCAGTTGCGTTTTTTATGAAAAATCAGTGTTATGTGAGTCAAGGGCTGCTTTCCATCTTTGACATCAGTATTGTCACCCAGGCCGGATCTCAAGATGCATGTGGCACAACAGGTTCCCTACCCCCATCACGGACCCCATGAGAGTTGAGTGTGTGAATAGTTGTATGCTGCCCACTGCCTGTTGCCTCCCACATCTCGCCCTGGGGTAAGAAACCCATTAGTCCCCCATCCACCCTTAACCCTCGCAGTCCTGCACAGTCCTCTTCACTTTCCCACTATTCCCCCACTCCTTCCACTAGCCTCCCCCTGCCTGCCCATGACCTCACATCATCCCAGCTCCGTGGCTAGACCAAGATGTCACAGATCAAGGGGAGAAGGGGTGACCTATGACTGAATAGCCACCATCTTTGGTGTGGTCCAGTCATCACCAGGGCCTATGTATATAGTATGTCATTCCAGGTGGCCTGCAGAGGATACCCAGGCCTGGCTGCAGCCCTACATGAGGCCTGGACAATCAGAGGTGCCATCAGAGAATTTTTGCAAAGTTGTTGTCAATATAGAATGTTGGATAATAAGATAGTTGGTAAGTGATGAGTAGATGTATATATAACATCTCATTATTTAAAACTTTATAAATAACATACTTAAGAATATCTGGTAAAAAATAAAAATAAAAATAATACCTGGCAAAACACTGACTACTCATTGTCCACTTCCAGCCCCACCATCCCAAATTCTCACTTTTAAATACAAATAAGCAGATAGCTAATCTCAGCTAACCAGCTACTTACCAGCATGTGTTTTCTTATCTAATTCTGTCTTTGTCTGTTCTAAGATCATATCTAATTGAGAAAGATGCATTGCTTTATTTTCACCATCTCGTTTTTGGTGCATTATTTCTTTTTCCATTCTAGATAGCTCTTCTTTGTACTGATCCATCTCAAGTTTTGCTTGCCTAATTAAAAACAAAAAATAAAACACATAAAAGAGGATAATTTACAAATTCAAGTATAAGCCAACTTATCCCTAACTAAAAAAATTTGCAAGTTGTATACGGACAAATATTACAAAAGTATTTATATGGCAAAAATCCAGTCTGAATCATAAATCACCTATTATATATTTTCTAAATGCCTCAACAAAAAGACTGTAATACTGCACTCATTATGTACCACACATAAAACTGTACTACTTGTATTATTTTCAATCTATGTATATTTATTTTTATAAAGCTTTACATGGACTGAGAACATCCATGGATAGGTTCCTTATTCATCTGTAATTTTTGTTATCTACAACAAAGACAATAAACAAGCCAAAAATAACAAGAAATGCAAGCAGTCAAAATATGCATCAAAAAGATTATGGTACCATAGAAGAGCCAAGTCAGTCATTCTTACTCAGAGAGTCATTACTAGTATTATTTACTATTTTAGCATTAAAAGGACCTAGAGATTCCTAGACTTGTACAACTTCCCTGATTACAAATGAAGAAACTGAAAGGTTACATGAACTGTCTGGAAGAACATAACTAATTAGTAATAGTAATTTGCTGTTCTTGTTAAGTGTTGTTCAGTTAGTTCCAACTCATAGTGGCCATGTAGAGGGTTTCCAAGGAGTGGCTGGTGAGTTTGAACTGCTGACCTTGCCGTTCAAACCGACCTTGAGGTCAAATTCTTATCCTATGGTGTCACACCAAGACTCCAATAATAGTAATATTGCTGTTGTTATGTGCCATCAAGTCGGTTCCGAGCCACAGGGCCAAACCAGGAATAATAGTTATAGGGCCAGGTTTACTAACTTTCAGTCAATCATAAACTGATTCCATTACGGAAGCTCCTCTACCTATAAACAAATCAACAAACATACCTTTAAGTCCATTTGCTGGTCATTACAAAGAACTACTCACTAATTGAACAATCACTAATGTCACTCTCAACTGTAGATAAGGGTGACTTTGTGACTTTGAAATTAAGAAAATTTGGATTAGTTCAAAGGGTTCTTATCTAATGGCCAAGGATAAAATTAAGAAAATTAATAAAATCCCTGAAATTATATGCAAATATGCATATGTATATTTTTGTATAGGAAAAAAAAAAATTCATTAACTTTTTATCAGATCCTGAAATGTGTATATGGCCTAACAAAGAACTACTTTATTAAACAAGGATTAATGATTGTTCTCTAGTTCAAATGTCCCAGCTTGATTATCTAGTTTTCTTATATTAGATTTAAACAAATAAATACCCATTACCATCAAGCCAATTCTGACTCATAGCAACTCTACATATAGTGTTTGAAACTTTCAATATTTACGGGAGTAGCAAACATCATCTTTCTACCATAGAGTGGCTGTTGGATTTGAACTGCTGAACTTGAGATTTATAGTCCAAACACATAGTTACAAAAGAATCATTAAAAAAGGTTGATGTATAGTGTCAAGAGCTGACTGCCAGTCAGCAGAGGAGTTGGGGAGAAAAAAAAAAAAAAGATAAACAGATATAATTCTATACACCTGCATTGGGATATTAATATAGTTTAGCATTTTTGGTATGGTGGAGGGTCAGAGAAAAAAAGAGGAAGACCCCCAGCGAGATGGATTGGCAAAGTGGCAGCATCGATGGGCTCAAGAGTTGCAACGATAGTAAGGTTGGCTCATGATCAGGCAGTGTTTCGGTCTGCTGTGCATAAGGTCGCTATGAGTCAGTACCGACTTGATGGCACCTAACAACAACAACATAATAGTTGACATGAATAATGATAACCTTGAAATACCAACAGAAGCTTGGTATACGCATCTATATACAGCCCACTGATTTTTGACAAAACACCTAAATATATCGCATGGGGAGGTGATAGTCTCTTCAACAGATGGTGCTGGCAGAACTGGAAAATGATATGCAAAAGACTGAAACAAGACCTTCACCTCACACCTGATACAAAAACCAACTCAACATGGATTAAGGACCTAAATGTGAATCCCAGAATTATGAAGGCCA